AGAGAGAGAGAGAGAGAGAGAGAGAGAGAGAGAGAGAGAGAGAGAGAATGAGAGAGAGAGAGAGCGCGCGCGCTAAGTGTCCTGCTTACGCGCCCGGGGCCCGCAGAGCCCACCCACCCCCTCCTCGTCCAGCTACCCTTAGGTCATCTCCCCCCCTCCTTCTCCAGGTTCACTTTCAGGGACTTTTCGTCCCACTGGGCCACGTCCCTTGCGCAGTCCCTCTGGAGCATAGGTACACCTAGGCCTGCGAGCTCACGGGGACCTCCGGCATTCCTTCAGACTCCACTCCTCCACCCCCTACCCCCACCCCCCCCCCCCCGGAAAAAAGCACAGACAGCTCTGACAAAGCCCGAGAGCAAAAGCCCAAAGCTAGTTGGCGCGGGCGCAGTTACCCAGACTAGGGCGCCCTACCGCCAAGGTCCTACAAACGGTGCCTAGGAATTGAGGGTCAGTTCTCTGGGGACTTTGCTGGAAAGCCTCTGTCTCAAAACCTTCCATCTAAATGCAATCCGAAACCCCAGAGGCGAGGCGAGGTTAGGAAAAAAAAAAAGATTTCAACTTAAATGAGACATTCCAACTCCCCACCCCCCACCCTCGCCCCTTGACATCTTGCCTTCAGTTTCCCGAGGGCTCGGGTCAACTTCCCCCTCCGTTCCTAGGTCTGTCCGGGCGGGGGTGACCCGCCTTGCTGGTGCCGGGAGGGTGGGAGCTGGCGAGAGCGAGGAAAGGCGGAGCCTGGGCAGGTGTGTCATTATAAACGTGCGGGCACAGCCGCGCGCCGCCGCCGCGGTTTTCAGCACCCGGGCTGAGAACAGAGCTCTTAACCCTTGTCCACCACTTCTGGATTTCTAAGTAAATTCTCTCTCTCTGTCTCCCTGTGGGTCTCTGTCTCTCCATCTCCATCCAGTTCATTGTTAGAGGGAACACATCACCTTGCCCATCTAGGTTTTTTTCTTCTTTCAGGATCGTTGGCGGAGAGCGCAGGCAAGGTGGGGCAGATGGTGGCGGAAGTGGGGCAGAAGGCTGACCGCGTGTGCTCCTACGGGATGAAGCTCAGCTGGGACATCAACGATCCGCAGATGCCTCAGGTGCGTGAAACCGGGTGTGTGCGCACACATGGCTCTGTCCATCCAGAAAAGGGCTGGTGGCATTCAAGTTCTTGCCGAGACTGAGGAGAGACCTCCTCCCCACACCCCCACATCCCTGAGAGTCCTCGATTTTTAGAGGGATGCCACAAACGGCAGTTGGGTTTAGTGATGTGTCTTCTTGCACTTGTCTGAAACACACCAATAGTCCCAAGAACTGTCGATTAGGCTGCAAGTTCCCAGTCGTCTGGTGAGAGCAGGACACCTGTCGCTTGCTTTCCTTTATCCAAGGTAGAAATCAGGTGATTCTCTCGGCCATTCTTTGAAATCTATGAGAAGGGTACAGCGAATGTAGATACCACTGCTTCTTATGCAGCAAAACTGTAAGATACTACTGTAAATCACGGTGATCCGAATCTTAACAAATAGCATGACTTGGGTGATTTATCCAGACGCCCGTGGCTTGCCTGGATGGTCATGCTAACCAGACCATAGGCAACAAGAGAGCCTCTGGAATCTGGATTCTGGATCTAACTTCTGATCTTACTTCTCTAACTTCTGGTCTTACTTTTGATCTTACTTCTCCTTTTAGGGTGATTTTGTTTTATTTTGTTTTGTTTTAATGGAACAAAGTAGTTTAGAGCCGAGTCCAGGGAATGAGCTGGACGGTTATGCTTGGTCATACTGGTTTGGGGCAAAAACTGAGGAGTGATTTTGAAGTCCTGGGTGTAGGTAGAAGGCGAGAGGAGTGGCTTCCCAAGTATTTGCAACGGTGGGCTTCCAGCAATGTTGTGGCACAGGGAAAGAGACTATCATGTGCCATATAGATTTTCAGACAGCTAGCAATTCATTAGCAAGGTCATGCACCCTCTCAAAGAGATCAGCACTTTTTTTTTTTGGATGGACATATGTGTAGTAATTTGTTCTACTTGTTTGTTTCAAAGTCTGCTACTTTACAGTCACCCTGTACCATTTGTGGGAAAGTGGACCATAGCACAGCAAAGACACCTCATTCACACTGACTTCTATCCAGAAAATCTTCATAAGAAAATAATCCTGCATTTTAGAAAAGAGCCACTTCCAAATAATGGAAATATGGGTCTTCCTTCATGCCTTTTCTAGACTTCCTGTGCAAATGTGAACTATTTTTCCTTTGCAAGACTGGTTCTTAAGCAGGGAATGTGTGTAATATCTCAAAAAGGCAGGTGTAATGGGAAACAGAAGTGGAGAAACAGGATCCTAGCCTTGCTCCAGCTGACTGAAGGAGAAAGAGCTAAACTGGCTGCATGACCTTGAGATAGTTCCTGAATTTGCCTTAGTTGCAGGCTAAGATGACCTGTCATCGAGTGGTGGAACTAAATAACAATCTTGAACTAGATAACAATCTTAAACTATCAGCCAGATTTTCTGTCATGTTCAGTGTTTGCATGCTTGTCTGAATGTGTACATGTACGCTTTAGAATAGAAGCAACCCAATCCTTGAATCCTCCATTTTTGTTTTGATTTAAAAAGAGGGTCTCAGTGGCTTCATTTTCAGTGTTGCTGCTTTAGTAGCAGGTATGAGACATGGGGGGTGATTCTCTACCCTCATAGGGGGACACTAACGGAATACTCTCTTCTGGAAGATTGTCTAACTAAGATCCTTAGATTGAAATGTTCACTTTAAAAACAAAGATATTAGCATTAACATAAACTTGGAGTTAATAGTACATCATTATATATTTCATTTGTGGCTTACCTTAAGTCAATGTATTAATTTATGGCAATTATAATATTTCTGAGAAAAGATAAATGATTATCTATTAGTAATAACAATGATTTCAACAATATCCCTGTGGGTTTTAGAAACAAAAGTGTCCATTTACCTATTATTGTTAGAATGCATAATACTAACTGATGTATCCAAGTCTGAATTACCCGACTGAGAATGTTCGATCTAATGTCCCTGGGGTGGTGGGAGGGAGAGAAGGTGCAAATGGCTTATTACTGTGATAATATTCTTCTGAGCCTCTACCATAGCAGGAAAGCCAGTGGAACCTGGCTGCCACAGATCTGTTTGAATCCCAGGTATGCCAGTCTAGAAGGTTCTCTCTCTAACTTCCACTTCCTTATCTATGAAATAAGAGTATGGATGCCCATCATGGAAGGTTGTCGTGAGGATCACTGAGACTCCGTAATGGGGCTCTGCAGGCCATGCTGTCTCTGTGCCAAAAGCCCAATTCCGCCATAGAGAGAAAACAGCCATAGCCAGTATTTAGACAGATGTGTTTGGCCATGTCCCAATACAACCATATTTATGGGTCTTGAAATTTGAATTTTAGATAATTTCCATTATGTCATGAAATCTAATTCTTTGGATTTTCCCCCAACCATTAAAAAATGTAAAAGTCACTCTTAGCTCGTAGACTGTCCTAAAACAAGTGACAGGCTGGATTGGGCCCCGGATTCCTAGTGTGCTGACCCCTGCCCTAGAGAGTACCTGCTAAATATTAAGTGCTTAGTACAGGGCAATTTTATATTAAACTTCTGTACAAGAAAGACATTGCAGTATAGATAATGCATATCATGGGCAAAGACCACCAATGATGGATATTGAAGGAGTGCTCAGTTTTTTAGATATAACTTACTATTTCAGCCAGGTGGCTCTTTGTTGAGAAGAGCAACAATCCACATTGCTTTGGGGAGAGGTCCAGGGCTCAGCGGGTTCCACCCCATGCTTGGGTGGAATTTATAGCTAGGTCCTTCATCACCGTGCCCCTATAAACTGGGAGAGCTAAGTTGGGAGGAGCAAGGGAAGCTGTTCTTGTCTCTCTAATGTTGCTCTGGGTATCACTGCTGATGTAACTGACAGGTTTGGGGTAGAGGCAAGAGCTTTAGAAGAAAAAGCACTGGATCAAAGTGGAGATATTTACAGACTGAATTGCATTTCAGTGATAGAGCATTGCAATCGCTTTTTGCCCTGGCACGTTGGTGCTTAATTTGAAAATGTTTTCATTTGTAACTTAACATTTAAACGTACCCAAAAGTGGTCTACCATGATGGTAAGGAAAACAGGCTCTGGAGTCAAACTGCTAGGGCTCAAATCCTAGAGCCAGTTCTTACTAGCAGCGTGACCTTGGGCAAGTCATTTGACCTCTCTGACCTCCGTGTCCTATTGGATTAACTACAGATTATAATAGTACCTATTTTCTGTGTGAGTTGGGAAGGCTAGATGACCTAGGACACGTACAGCATTTAGAAGACAAGAACTTTATAAACATCAATGAACAGCCAGTCGTCAGAACAGCATGCACAGACGGGATGGGTGATGTTTTGTGATGGCACAGTTTGTGGCTCTTAGGACACTTCTGGAATTAAAAAGAACCAGTTTTTATTCTAATGTGCTTGGGAAAAATGAAAAGCGTGGTGTGCCCAGGTGGGGCTTGATCCACTCGCCCATCCTTCCCTTTTGTGCGCCCTCCCAGGAGCCGGCCCACTTCGACCACTTCTGTGAGTGGCCCGACGGCTACGTGCGCTTCATCTACCGCAGCGACGAGAAGAAGGCTCAGCGCCACCTGAGCGGCTGGGCCATGCGCAACACCAACAACCACAACGGCCACATCCTCAAGAAGTCGTGCCTGGGTGTGGTGGTGTGCGCTCGGGCCTGCGCCCTGCCCGACGGCTCCCGCCTGCAGCTGCGGCCTGCCATCTGTGACAAGGCTCGCCTGAAGCAGCAGAGTGAGCGCCCCAGGCCAGGACGGGGGGGGGGGGGGGGGGGGGGGGAGCAGGGGGTAGCTCGTGGCCCCGAGTTCCCTTTTCCCCAGGAATTGTTTTCCCTTTCTTCCTTCAAAAGTACCTGGGGTCCTAGTTGTTATTAATATTTCTCTCTCCCGCTGGCTTGGCAGAGAAAGCATGCCCCAACTGTCATTCCGCTTTGGAGTTGATCCCCTGTCGAGGGCACAGCGGATACCCTGTAACCAACTTCTGGCGGCTTGATGGCAACGCGATATTTTTCCAAGTAGGTGGAGGGGACATCACAGTTTGTGGTGGGTATTTTCATCAAGCCATAGGGTCCAGACCACCTGCTGTGTGCCTTAGGAACTCTGGACTCACCCAAATAGAGCTTCGTGGTCAGAACTCGGGGCTGGGGCTCCCAGAGCCTTACTGGGCTCCGAGGAATAAGCTCTGCTTCCGTAGACTCTGTAAGGGCGAGAGATGGTAAACCAAATTATAGTTAATATGGGGAAAGGATTGTTAGGTAATCTTTTAAGATTTCTATTAGCCATGCTGTTTTATTAGTTCAATAATTTTTTCTGTCATTTTGGAAAAACAAAAACAATCTGAGATCTTGGGAAAGATAATTTATTTTTGACAAACGTGACCAGCTTCCTTCAGCAGGATAAATATATGATTTATTAATGCAGGCCAAGGGAGTTCATGATCACCCAAGACCAGAGAGCAAATCAGAGACAGAAGCTAGAAGAAGTGCCATCAAGAGACAAATGGCCTCTTTTTACCAACCCCAGAAAAAGAGAATCCGAGAACCAGAGGTAATGGGGAGCTGACATGACACTGTGGTCTGTGTTCATTTTCATCACAAAATATACTGCTAATTATGTAAACTATGAATGTCATAAATTAATTAGAAAGGTTTTATGTGAAAATTATATCTCCAAAAAAATGGCATTGAATCCACATTTTGGATACAGTTCCTAATTTCTTCTTCTTAAAAAAAAAAAAAGCAAACTCTCTATAGTCAATGATAGGGTGAGGGTGTGTGCTGACAGCCTGATACACAAGGGCAGGTATCCAGTTTTAATAAAGAGAGAAAGAGGGGCATGCCAACAGTGAATTAATTAGCAGTGCATCCTTGAGAGCATCCTTTGCATTATTTACACAGAACAAATAAAACTTCTTGGGGCAACTTGATCCAGTTTGGCTTTTCAACCAAAGCATGCCAAGCAGGCAGTGCTAGTCCGGAGATAAGAGAAACTGGTATTTGAGCGCTTTCTATGTGCCAGGCACATAGGAGCTAAGGGTTTCGCACATGAAATGGTCACAAAGACCTTAAGAAGAGGTGGTTGTTATTGTAATGTTTACAATTAGGACTCTGAGGTTCAGAGAGGTTAAGTAACTTGTTCCATTCATGAGGGACAGAGTCAGGATTTGAACCCAGGTCTGTGTCAGGCTCCTTGGCTCCGGTATTATGAACATAGGATGAGGAACCACAGAGCCATCTGCCACTCAGACCCACCCTGCCTGGCTGCCATGAACTCTCATTCGGCAGTGTGGTATTCATGCCTGAGCAAGCTCAAGTTCTGCAGCCCTTGGACCCTGCGCCCAAAATCACGTACCTGAGCAGTGCAGTGTTCACAACACACAATCAATCCATTGGAAGTCTGTCTGTATTTGGTTGGTTGGCTACTGTTACTAATGAGGGCACCCAGGTGATTTACATTTTTATTTACAAATAAAAATTTATATCTTTTTTTAGGCTGGAGAGAATCAAGACAACAGTGGACATTTCAACAACATGCCTCCCTTGGAAAATCCAGAAGAGTTTGATCTAATTGCTGACACCGGCTTCCCTATCTCAGGGCAGCCTTGCTTTTCCTTCCCAAGCTCCGAGGCTTACAAAGCTACCTGTGACCTAGCCACCTTCCAAGGAGACGTAATGCCACCCTTTCAGAAATACCCAAACCCAAGGATTCTTTTGCCTAGGCCACCTTGCAGCTATGAATTAGCAGGTCCTAGTTACACAAATTCAAACTCACATCCCACCCTTTATACAAATTCCAGCAGCATCCCTAATGACATGGACTGGGTTCATCTGAATGCACTACAATATAACGTCAATTCCTACAGCAGCTTTGAGAGAAGCTTTGATTTCACCAGTAAACAACACGGCTGGAAACCAGCTCTTGGAGCACCTGGCCTTGGGGAGAGGCCAGACCATGGACAATTCCAGGCTGTGGCCACTCACCCTTATTATAACCCAGAGCTTCCCTGCAGGTACCTCACGGCTTCCCCAGCAGGTCCTCCAGCCCTACAGACTGTGATCACCACCACCACCAAAGTGTCCTACCAGGCCTACCAGCCCCCTGCTCTGAAATACTGCGACAGCATACAAGAAGTGAAGAGCCTTTCAGGGTGCAACTATGCTTCTGAAAACATCCCCCTGTCCATCTATCCGGAAGGCTTGGACTTCCCAGCCACGGTAGCCAGGGCAGCCTCACCAGCCGGGTCACTTCCTTTGAAAATTTCAGGCGATTGCCGAGCCATCAGACCCATGCTGGCCTTTCCTCAGGAGTCCACTCCCTCTAGGACAGACGGAGCAGAGACTTGGGACGTGTGTCCATCGAGGTTGGGGTCTGCAATCAGTTATCCAGACGGGGTTAGTCCGTTCGTTTGCTATGACAATGAGGACTTTTGAACAGTCCTGGGCACGACATAATAGCGGCGTCCATGCATGCAGTGAAATGTGGAATAGAAGCTCTCTCTTGTTTGAGCTGGGGGATTGATCTAGCGGACATATATAATAATAATGCTGATCAGTTGAGAAAATTACGGGTTGGAAATGTTTAGATAGTATAGGGAAATTTTTGCACAGCATTTTAAAACCTACTGCACTACAGGGGCGCCTGGGTGGCTCAGTGAGTTAAGCCTCCAACGTGATTTTGGCTCAGGTCAGGATCTCAGGGTTGTAAGATCAAGCCCCATGTCGGCCTCCATGCTTGGTGCAGAGTCTGCTTGAGATTCTCTGTCTCCCTCTCCCTCTGCCCCTCTCCCTGCTCCCTCTCTCAAATAAATAAATAAATAAATACCATCTTCAAGAAAAAAAAAACCTACCGCACTACATAGGATTAGGTCTGAAATGTGACTCTCCCAAATGAACAAATAAGCAAGTTGGATACCATGATGAGTAATGGAGTAGAAGCCAAGAATTCTGGTTCTCATTCTAAGCCCTTTCCCATTTGACCATAGGGAATTTTACAAATCCTTATCTGGCCTTTAGAGGTTGTCACAGTAGTTTCAGGAAGAAGTCTTTACAATCTTATCTCCTGAGTCATTTCTTAAAATTTTTATTTAGCATTTACCATCTATTACAAGAGCTTCAGGAAATAAATTTGACCATTTTATCCCCAAGTATATAACCAACTTTTTAAAAAAATTTACAATATTGCAATGATAATGTGCAATTGTTTTTAAGAGAATTTTGTTTTCCAGTGTCAGCTGAATACCTTTTCTTAACATCAATGAACGTTTTCATAACAGAAACAGTGTAACAATGATGTGTATTTAAGATTATTATTGTGCTAAAATATGTTTTTTCTGATTAAGTTTCAGAATTAGAATTGAGATGTTTTATTCAAACACAGGTTTACTGTTTGTTACTCCTTATAAATGTAATTGATAATATTTGGGTGAATGTAATAAAGAAGTTTTAAGGTAATGTTGCTGATGCTTGAGTTATTTCAAAAAGGAGATAGGAAATAATTGTGTTCCTATTATGACCTGCAAAACTGTTGCTATAATATACAAAATCATATTAGTTTATTTAACAGTTTTATAGTTTATTTCATTTTATTTTTTGTACCTTTTGACCCCCTTCACCCACTCACCCATTCTGCTCACTCCCCTCCCCTCCCCTCTGGCAACCACCAATCTGTTCTCTGTATCTATGAACTCCCGTTTTTTGTTATTTTAGATTCCACATGTAAGTGAGACCATATGGCATTTGTCTTTCCCTGTCTTATTTTACTTAGCATAATGCCCCCAAGATCCATCCATGGTGTCACAAATAGCAAGACTTCACTCCATGGTATCTATACGCCACATTTTCTTTATCCATTCATCCCTAGGGAGACAACTACTTAGGTTGTTTCTGAGACTTGGCTACTGTAAATGATGCTACAATGAACATGGGGGTGCATATAGCTTTTCAAATTAGTGTTTTCATTTTCTTAGGATAGATACCCAGCAAAGGAATTGCTGGATCACATGGTAGATCTATTTTTAATTTTTTGAGGAAGCTTCATGCTGTTTTCCACGGTAATTGTACCAATTTGCACTCTCCCCAACAGTGCACAAGGGTTCCCTTTTATCTACATCCGCGCCAGCACTTATTTCTTGTCTTCTTAATAATAGTCATTCTAAAGGTGTGAGGTGATATCTCATTGTGGTTCTGATTTCTATTTCCCTGATGATGGGTGATTCTGAGCATCTTTTCACTTACCTATTGGGTCATCTGTGTGTCTTCTTTAGAAATGTCCATTCAGATCCTCTGCCCATTTTTTAATTGGATTTTTTTTTTTTTGCTATTGACCTGTATGAGTTTTTTAAATATATTTTGGATATTAACCCCTTATTAGATATATGATTCGTAAATATTCTCTCCCATTCAGTAAGTTGCCTTTTCCTTGTGTTGATGATTTCCCTCGCTGCGCAAAAACCTTTAAGTTTGATTGTCATTTCACTTGTTTATTTTTGTTTTTGGTGTCAAATCCAAAAAAATCATCACCAAGACCAATGTCAAGGAGTTTATTGCCTCTGGATTTTTTTTTTTCTAGGAATTTTATAGTTTCAGGTCTTATATTTAAGTTCTGAATCCACTTGAGTTAATTTTTGTGTATGGTGTAAGACAGTGGTCCAGTTTCATTCTTTGGATCTAGCTGTCCCAGTGCAATTTATTGAAGAGACTGTCCTTTCCCCATTGTATATTCTTGGCTCCTTTGTTATAAGTTAATTGCCCATATATGTATGGATTTATTCCTGGGCTCTCTGTTCTGTTCCATTGATTTATGTGTCTGTTTTTATGCCACTACCATACTGTTTGTTTACTATAGCTTTGAAATATAGTTTGAAATCAGAGAGAATAATGCCTTCAGCTTTGTTCTTTTTCAAGACTACTTTGGTTTTTGAGGTCTCTTGTGGTTCCACACAAATTTTAGAGTTGTTTTTTCTATTTCTGTGGAAAATGCCATTGGAATGTTGGTAGGAATTTTGCACTGAATCTGTAGATTGCTTTGAGTAATATGGATATTTTAACAATATGAATTCTTCTGATTCACGAGCTTGGAATATCCACTTATTTGTGTCTTCTTCAATTTCTTTCATTAATGCCTTATAGTTTTCAGTGTGCAGGTCAGGTCTTTCACTTTCTCAGTTAAATTTATTTCTAGGTATTTCAGTAGTTTATTTTAGAAAGAATTATTTGCTATACTGATAACAAAAAGCCTATTCAAAACATTCAGAATGCATGCACACACACACACACACACACATTTTGCACAGCTCATGGTATTTACTAAAATCATTCAGTTTTCAAATTAATACAAAGTACATAAATTTCTTTTGAGAATGGAAACGAATGAAATGGAATTTGCATAGAATACTCAATTTGCATAACTAAATGACAGCAAGTCAGATAGATGCCATTTTAAATTATTGAGTGTTATATATTTTTTACCTGATTCATAAAGCCCTAATACCCTGATGTAATAAATACATGGAGTTCTGGCCTCCAGATTAAATAAATATGAGTACACTCCTATGATTCCCTAGCCAACTCTTTCTCTGAGGAAAGGATGCCTAGCACACTCACAGACTACTTTTTTCTTTCGACTTCTGTTGCCTGAACTCACAGCTTATAATAATGTCTAACATTTATATGGCACTTGCAGGGACTAGACACTGTTCCAAGCTCTAAACATATGCTAATGTGTTTAATCCTCACATTAGTTCTCTGAGCTACCTGAGAGACATGCAGTGACTTACACAGTAAGTAGCAGCTGGGATTTGAATTCAGGTCACCTCCAGAATCTATGCTCTGAACCACCACATGATGTTAGCTTTGACTGGAGTCATCTATCAGTGAAATTCCATTTGTACTTAGCACATGTGTACTTGGCATCGAGCAGGGAGTCCTAAGTACATATGTCCCAACACAGGACCTGAGGCATTCCATGTAGGACAGGCAGAAAGGGGCAGGGCAGGGGTGGGAGTGAACATACTCGGGGTGGAGGCCCTGAGGTAGACATTTCCCAAAGTGTGGTACAAGGGTGCCCTGGTTCTGGGGCAATTCTAAATAGTCTGCAGATATTTTATGTGAATAGTTGTGGATTAATCTTAATGTATAATAGGGAAAGATATAAGGAACACTTCAAATCTATGATTTCAAAATATTTTTTCCTAGCCAAAGCAAGATAGTATGGGGATGTTTGCTTGTTTGTTTGTTTGTTTGAAGGCAAGGCAACTTACAAAGAGATATTACACAACCAATAGTGCAGATATTACAAGGAAATGCCAAAGAGTGATTAAAACGGATCACAATAAGGGAGAACTACTGACTAGTGAGACACATTTTCCTGGAGCAAGGGGACAGTGGGTGGCTCAGGTAGAAAGGGTCAGTGGTGATGACAATGAGATTGTAGAAAGCGGGAGCCAATGAGGAAAACAAACACATACGTGACTTTTGGCATCTGGAAGTTTAACCACAGTGCTGAAGAGTCTAGACAGTGGGCAGTACTCAGGAGCCAGGATGTGGGAGTCGATCCCAGGAGAGGTGGGTAAAGAAACATACCTCAATTGTCAGCCAGGGCCCCCCAGCCATGCCATCCTCCAAGGAGCCAAGATAGAAAGCAGGGTGGCTGTATAGCACAGATCAGTTCTTGTGAACTGGGCCATCTGAGGAAGGCACAAAAAGGTTTAGACTCTGGATCATATTTACTGCTTAGAAAAACCAACTGGTTAGGGAGCAACAAGTTTTGTGGAAAATGCATGGAAGTAGGAAACTTACAAAGGCCTAGCTGCCATATTGTTATTAATATGAAATATTAATTATGAATGCTAGTTATTAATAACTCTTTGCTTACAAATTTATTATCAGTTTTCAAATATGGGGAGTATAAGTTAGAGCAGCCAAAGTTTCTGACATACTTTGCTCTGCTCAGCTGATGAACCAGGAAGGGCCCAAGCCTGCAGCTAGACCCAGGACAACATTAGCTGTTGAGCACAGAGGGAGATAAAGCAAAGGAGGTGAGGCCAGGTTGGTAGCTGACAGCTTTGATCAAGGCAGAGGATAGCAATTAGACTTACCAGCGCCAAGGGACACTAAACAGAAACATGAGTTATTCACTTGCTAATCATTCATTCCTCTTCATGAATAGTGCATAGTCTGGAAGTGGACTTACCTGGTAGAATCTTAGATACTGAATCCAACCTCTGACAGTTTCAATGGAACATTTGTCAGAAAAGCTAATGGGCCTTTTTCATAATTAAAAATCTTATAAAACTCTATTAACTAATCTGTGAGACGTTGCATTAAGAACAGCATAGCAAATAGAATTCACAACTGACAAAATGATTTGAAAAACAGTTTCTCCCCGCATCCATCCTTCTTTGGTCCACAACTTTGCTCTGTGATATGCAGCG